TCAAGTGGCAGTTCTTACATGAAAGTGGTCTTCAAAGAGAGAGCTCGGAGGACGAAGGAAACTCGGAGGAGAACAGAGGAGCACTCGGGGTCTGATTGCTGAAGAGAGGCTGATGATGCAAAAGTTCTAAGAAGGTATGAAAACCTTCTATTTATACTGCTTTACAGGGAGTAAGAATCAAAAAGTTGGGTCATCATTAGGGCATTTGAAAAGGGCAGCACCATACGTGCAAGTAACCGTCGCTATTAATAAGGTATAATGATGGAGCCCCCAATCTCTTTACGCCACTTGTCTCACACTGCGAAAAGGATGGCGACTGTGGGGCAATTGGCAGGACTCTAGGTGGCTCTATAGGCCCTGGGTTGACACGTGAAATAATGAAGCCGTTGGGATATCCAAAGGGTGCCAAGGAGGTAAGCCGAGATATGGTGACACGGAGCAGCCGAGTACGACAATTGACATCGTATTTAATGTGATGTGACCCCTCATTTATGGCAGAATGAGTGATAATGACAAAACAAATAAATGTGCACCTGCCCTCTAGGAGTTTAGGCCTACCGTCATGATGGATAAGCATTAATGGCTGACGCGCCGAGATGGCGCAATCGGCTTCCCCCAAGGAACTGTTCCTCCCGAGTATTCAATGCTCAGTTGATGTCAGATGCCGATCTGGGGGATTTGGGTACTCGGGGGAGGGGCATAAATGCTCGACATTTGGCCGAGCATTTACCCCATTGTCCTAGCATTTAATAGGAGGAGACGTGAGTTGAAAACACTCATTGCACGAGGAATGATGTGTCAGATATAAGATGTTCATATGGGACTGGAGATATTTGACAATCATTGTTTATTCATGTATAAATACTCTTCAAAAAAATGGACAAAAGTACGCAAACTTGAATCAGAAAAATAATCCATTGAGCAGAACCTTTCGACCTTATACTGACTTAAGCTTCGGAGGGAATTAGCCGGGCGCTCGCCTGACTCCCTTTTTTCTGACCCTATTGTTTCAGGTTTACCAACTGGGAGATCGCTGTCTCATACTATTGCAGGAATTATCCTGTGCACTAGTATCACTGTATATTTCTTTTAGTTAAGGACCCGAATCCCTCATTAATGAAGGGTAGTTAGTGATTCCTTCGTTAATGAAGGAAAACCCAAGTCCCTCGTTAATGAAGGAAAACCCAGATAAATAAAATGGGTCTCATTTGAATAAAAGTTATAACTGATCCACCAAAAAAAAAATTAAAAAAAAAGTATATTGAAGAATTCTCATCTCTCATTAGTGTTTGTTAGCAATTAGAACTCTGATTGTAACAAAAGATAATCCCTAATTTCGTGCACATGTGTAACGGCATCCTTCTCTTTAGAGATAATGATTATCTTCCTTCCCTCATGCCTACATAAATATATACTATTTGCTCAAAAGGTCCATCAATTTTCGTCTCTTTCATGTTCTGCCCTTTTCTTCATTTCTCTGATCTCAAAGCCAAAATGTGGAGAAGTTACATATGAATAAATTGAATAAAATTTTAAAGAAACACCAAGATAGATAAAGATACAGACAATAAATCAGAGTAAGACAATAAGATTGCGAGGGAGAAAAAGAGTTGGAAAGAGGCAAGGAAAAATTAATGAAAAGAATTTGAGAGAGATTGCTAATTTTAAAATTAGAAGTCGTTAATTTTAAATTTTTTTAGAAGATTTTGTTATATTTTAGGACTTTGTATAAAGATTTATATAGACTTATAAAAATAGTTATATTTTAGGATTTTTTATAAAGTTTTAGATGAACTTGTGAAATATATTTTATCTTTAATTTAATCATTTAAAAGGACTTCAGAATATGAAGCTAAACAAAAGACTGAAAATTAAATTGGATCTCTAAATTTTTTAGGCTCTAGGCGATTATTTTAATGGTTGGGCCCTAGGGTTGGTCCTGCTATGTTATTGTAGTATTTGTACATCTCGCAATAATTGTAGTATTTGCTCGTCCCTTACTGTCATGTCTTCGTCCATGAAATCAATTAAATGAAACACATTAATTACTAAATGACGCGCAACGATTAAAAGTAACATATATTATTTTATATTTTATATATTTTTTATTGATTTTTATAAGGTACTTTTATAGTAAAGATGTTCAATATTGCAATGTGGTGTCACATTATTTTTCTTTTTTAGTAATTTAGGCATCTAATATATATTAAATATTATTAATTTTTTATATTAATTAGTTTTTATTATGGAACGAACAATTTAATTATTTGATATTTTTGTGTTTAAATAAAAACAAAATCGAGTTTAACAAATGATATTTTTTTGGAATAGAGAGATATTTTTTTATCAAAGTGTTAACCCTTTTTTGTTTTTTAATAAATGTGTATGTGTGAAATGGACTGTATTTTTAGACGTAAATTTTAAATTTTATTTTTTTTACGTAATTTTTCAAAAAAAATTTTGTTAAATTAAATTATAATGAATTTGAATTTTTGATTTATACTTTATTATTGAACTCTAACATTTCAAGTTTTTTTTTTATATATGAGCCTAAAGCCCATCCTTTTTTTGGCTCTACTGTTACGCCGGCCTCGCTCTCATTAGTGTTTGTTAGCAATTAGAACTCAAGTTGTAACAAAAGATAATCCCTACTTAACAGCATCCTTCTCTTCAGAGATAATGATTATCTTCTTCTCTCATACCTACATAAATATATATTTTCTTACCTTTTCTTCATTTCTCTGATCTCAAAGCCAAGCCAAAATGTACAGAACTTCTGCTACTACAGACCTTGAAGAGAAGCTGCTCATCTCAACCAACCCTAAGGCACCACCAATGACAGATAAAAAAAAACGACATCGTTTATTCGTGTTTCTCGGGGTGCTAATTGTGATGTCCTTTGTTGGCATTTGTCCATTCCACCACCTTTTGAAGGTCACTGAGGATGATGAGCTTAAATATAAAGCTCCCGAATTCGACATCGATTCTCTGTCACTCATTCTCAACAGTGAAGAAGCATACTGGAGGGTTACTTTCTCCATTAAAAACCCTAGGGAGAACGCGACTGTCCGGTACTACTCGGGCCAAGTTTCGATGATCTACGAGAAGGGATTTTTATCTACAGATCTTATTACTCCGTTTCGCCTGCGTTCAGAGGAAGAGAGATTGGTGTATGCCAACTTTGAGACATATCCAATTGATTGGAAATGTGTAAAGAAAATGGCTGTGGATTTTTTTGTGTTGATGAAGGCTAGTATAGTTGACCCGCGACCTGGATCATATCGGGAGTCGGTTGCTTTGCTAAGGATTAACTGCAAAACAGCCAGTATTGAGTTTCCTGTAAACAATAACGGTATGGTCGGAATTATGTCGGGTGGTAAAAGGAAGTGCAAGGTGGTTATGATTGACAATAATAGGAAATAGTGAGGATCTGGTCTCTGTAGGTTTCAATAAGCAAGACCAACATGGAAAACCATTCGTCTATGATCTTAAATATGATCAAGACAGTGAAGATGACAAGGAGGGTAAAAAGTGAGGATGAAGCTAGAAGTCAAACTTAAATGCCTCTAGGTTTGGACTTTTTGATAATTTTCAGTTTTTTTCACTATGTGGTCAGTTCTTTATTTCACCATGCAGTAGTTTCCATCAATTTTTAATGGTTAAGTTCTTCTCTCTCACACACATCCAGCAGCCTCATTGTGTACCATTATACCATAGACTTGGTTGTTCTCAAACTATTCTCTATCCCACCTCCTAATATCCCAGTTATCTGGCAAACAAACACGCCCTTAGTATAACACTCATTCTAACCAAACCTACGAATTACTAGTTGGAGACTCATCAAGGAACTATTTTCATGAGTTTATTGTGGATCAATCATTCTAATTAAAAATAACGCTAGACTATACCAAAAAATGGGGCAAAATAGAGGGTCCGATCCGGCCCAATATTCTCTATTATATGGCACTCCTTTAATTAAATTCTTCCAATATAATCACGTAACCATTTTGCGAAAATAATTTACGACAAGTTTTATGTTTTTCAAATATGGCAAAATTTAGGGTAAATTTCATAAGCAATACACCCTAAATTATTGCCTTTGTCGTAAATTATCTCAATAACTTTCAATTATTTCAATTGATCTTTTAAACTATATAATTTATTTTAATCGACACTTTCTTTTAAGATTAATCATTAAATGAGATAAATTAACTATTAATCTTAATAGAATTTGACTCAATTATTGATTAATTTTAATAGAAGGAACGATCGAATTTTTATTTTTTTATCAGAGGAAAAGGAGTAGAGACGACTAATAAATAGTAACTTTTATGGGCATGACCATGAGAGTGCTCACTGTGGAATGTTTGATTTGAATCATAGTTATTAACCTGAAAGAGTATTCCGTCATCACAGCACCACCAAACTCAAACAACAAAATCGCGTTACTCTCGTGATTGAATCCTGCTCGATAATCCCATGAGAATTATAAAACAATCCTTAACGAAGATGAGTTACCATTAGACCACCAATTCAGGCCTTATTTCCATGGATTGAACTTTTCTTGATAACCACGTGAGAGTCAAAAATTGATAATCACATGAGAGTTAAGAGACGATCATAAACAGAAATAACTTATCACTAGACTATTAGCTCGGGCATTACTCCCGTGGATCAAACTATTCTTGATATTTGATAACTACATGAGAGTCAAAGAATGATAATCACGTGAGAGTCAAAGACGATTTTAAATGAAAATGACTTATTACTAAACCACCAATTCGGGTGATGATTGAAATAAATTACATAATTTAGAGGATAAATTAAAATAGGGAACAATTTAAAAGAAAGCCCATAGTTAAGGGTAAAACTTATGATTTTTCAAACAAATTCAACTCATTTACAAAGATATAAAAATCAGCTCGACTCATTCGATACTATTTGAAGGTAATCATATTTACGGCTTGTAGGGTTTAAGCGTCAGTGTTGTCTTCTTCACTCTTCAATCTCTATCAGCCCTCTGTATTTTGGGCGGAAAAACCCTAATAAGGGATATGGCTTCCGCGTTCAGATCAACAGTAATGACCGCTTCTAGGTCTTTCACTGCTCGATCTAATGTAATTTCCAAAACCCTAACTCCAAAACCCATCCCCACCTCTCCATTCCCTTCTTCCAGAAGAACCACCATTTGCGTAGCTTCAAGGTATCGCCAAAACTAACCGCTGTCGTTCAATATGTATATGTAGCGCTATATCTATAAATGCTTGTGTTAAAATTGCTTTTTAGGATTGCTTCGGTATTGGGAAGTGTCGAGTCCATGATGCCACTTCACAGCGCGATTGCCTCTGCTCGTCTCAAGTCGAGTATTGCCGTTGATTCCACCTGTTGGAGCTGGCTTTCTCAAGGTATATGTTTTTTTCTCACTCTATATGCACCTGTAGAATTTTTTTTGAAGAAAAAAATTGCCAATGTTAGAGCATTAATTTATTGAATTAAGTCTATGATAGGTCTCTGTTGTGTTGTTGATATATATTCCGTTGCTAATAGTGAGGTATTTGGTATTGAAATCAAGAAAAAAACAGTTCATAATGTGAACCAAGTTCTCCCCAATGGATTCCATTTCTAATTTTAAGTTCCACGCTCCCAAACACAGATGCAATGTTGATTATTGGAATTTGAGGAGCTAAATGCATTAATGGGTTATGATTTATAAGATAGTCTATAGCTCTTCATTGATGGTGGATGACTCTTTTTGGCAACTTCAATCTTAGGTGTGTCCTGACTAGTTCTTGTACTGCTTGTATAGGACTTGCAATACCATTGTGACAAGGCTCGCTGGTTTCATACAAGACAATAAACGCAAAGGATTTTTGTTCTGTATCAATTGGACGGCAAAGAAGTCCTTCAAGTTATAAAAGTTTTTGACTCTGAATTTGGAGCATGTAGAAAATTGTTTGAATGCATTATTTGGTGTTGTTTTTTTTTCTTATTTTAACCGATTATTGACATTCTCATACAATCTCCTTTTTTTTTATTGGCCTCCGTGGAGTTTGTGTCAGTTGATGAAGTGGTTACAAATGAGTATTTTGATCCTTCCCCTGGGTTTGTCATCATTTCTAGAAGGCTACAACACCTTTTGTCATTCTAGAGATTTCAATGGTTGCCATTTCTTTAGTCTGATTACGACCAATTCCAGAGTAGTAATATTTTGTTCCTATAGGAAGGATGCTGTCAGCTGTAGAATAATGTCGTTTGGTAAATTATGCCACATAGGTACCAGGGACTTGTATCCACATCTTTATTTTGTAAACTCTGTTCTTGGTTTTTTACTGGGTCGTTCTGTTCCATAATTTGTAGAGTTCTGTTAGATAGTCTGGTTGTTATGAGATCTTGCATACAGACCAGTTTTCCCAGTAACACGTCAGTGATCCCATGGAAAGACATTTTCTATGTGGTGATTGTACTTTTCTTATTAGAGAGGAAAAATTCTGGCAAGCCTGGTAAAGAAAGTTTGTTTGACTGCACCTGTATCATCAGTTTTCGAATATTCTGTTAACAGTATTATTTAGTGACTGTCCTGTATCCACAACAGTATAATTTTCGACAGTCTTTTGCTTCCCCACTATGTGTTATAGACTTACGGTGATTAATTCTTTTGGGTTTTTATCATTGGTCCTTCGTCAACATTTATATACTTACTCTGCTCATAAACTTTATCATTCTCTTCTAGTGAAAGTTCCATCCACTAATTACATTCCTTTACCTTCTTGTGGGTATTCCCAAGAATTTGGAGTTCCTCGGTGACAAAGACTCCAGGCTGCTATAACTTCAAACCAAAGCAGCTTGCGATTGAGCGGTTTCTCTTCGTCTTCTATTGGATCCACTGCCTCTAGGGTCTTAACTGTTTCCTTTCATTCATGGCTATTGCTTGCTGTAAGTTTTGCAGTCATTGGGTAACATAATATTGATAGATTGTTGCAATTTCATCCTTCAATTCCAAAATGGTAAACTTTAGATAGTTTCTACTATCATTTCCCAAATTGAGACATTCTGAAATCAGCATTCACTTTCCAATTGTTGGGGTTGGAGTTGTGGAAATAATATGAAGATTGACAGTTTTAGCTCGGCTTTATAAGGTCTTGTTTGCAAAAGGAAAATTATAATGAACTGGGACATAAATATGGTACAACCATCTAAGTCTCTAATTTTGCTTTGAAAGCTTTGTTAAGCGCATCACTGTTAACCTTGATCTGCTACCTCTCATATAAGGGTTATTTGGTGAGAACTTTGCAGTTGGGGCAGTGACAGAATCATAGGCTTTGTACAGTGCTCCCATCAATCTTTAATGTGTTCAAGATAGGGCTGATAATCGAATTGAATTACTCGAACTTGACTCGGGTTCGTCTTATTTTGGGCTCGTTCAGGTTCGACTCATTTTCTAAATAAACTAAACTTGAACACTTTTTTAGACTTTTTTAGAAACGAGCTTGATTGACTCGGACCAGATTTGACAGACTTGACTCGTTTATGTGTAAATACTCCAATTCGGCTCGTTCAGACTATGTTTGTTTTTTAAACAAGATAAATTTGAACAATTTTTTAGATTTACTTAAAAAAAACGAGAATGAGTTCGACAGGTTTAGTTTGAGCTCAAATGGGTTTAGGTTAAGAATTGTGAGTGGATGTTTAGGTTCACAGTCTGCTCTTATCAAAGAGCCGAATTCCTCGCCCCCCCACATTAATACTGTTGAGGTGCATGGTAGCTGGAATAGAAATTTGAACCATGCATTCATGAAATGAGGCTGCATGATGCCTCTCCAGTTGAGTACTTATTGTGATTCATAGAAACTGTTGCATTCACCAGGCTCATGAATGGAATTCGGTCTGTGTGTTAACCCACCGGGCCCCATAACGGGCCATAAACAGGTCAAACCCGCTGGGTCCGATTAGCCAAAAATCATGCAAAGGACACTTATCTGTAATGCTATTGGTTGGTTCATTGACTGCCACATGGGATTCGTGGGATTTTTGCATAGTCTCCTTTCCGCCCAATCGTCCATTTATTTATTTATCTATCTCACGTACCCTTTTATTACACCCAATATTTACGCCACGCCCTTTTAAAGAGAATGGCTTTGTTATCACTGTCACATAGTCAGCTCCTATATGATTTGTTATCTTTTGGTGGAAGGCTCTTTATCATATGTTGATCAACGTGAATATCACGTGGAAAAGATGACGTGTCGGTGTATGTTCACATGTCCTTTGTTACAATTTCAATTTTTACAAGAAAATAAAAATTACCATTTCGTTCCTTCCGCGAAAGCACAAGAAAGAAGAAAATGAATTTCTTAAAAAGAGATAAAAAATACAAAAAAGAGACGAAAAATAGATTACATAAAGATTTGAATCATCTATAAAATTTTCATCTATGACAAGGTGCTCGAAAGAATTTTTTTTTTATTTTTATTATTTCTTGGATCACATTGTTATTTAAGGGATAATTTAAATGATAACATAGATGACAATTCCAATAGGTTCTCTATTCTAGTAACAAAATAATCTTACAGTTAATAATATTTAAAATGTATATGTGTCATCTTGTTATTTATTAAAAATAGAATAAAGTGTAAGTAAAACTCTCTAAATATAAAGAGTCAAATAAGACTCTCTATTTTAGCTAGTCTAAATAGAGAACCTATTGAAATTTAATTTTTAATGGTTGACTTTATAATTTTTTTGGGTTAACCTTAGGTTGAATTCTGGTGGACCCGTTCAAGTTGCACCCCAAAGTAGGGGAGGTTTGGGTGCACCCTGTAAAAAATAATTTTTTTATATGTGTTTTATATATTTTTTGGATAATTTTAGTTTGGTCGACCCTAATGAATTAGATAAAACAAAATTAATTAAGTCAAACAAGTTAGGCACATTGTAATTTTTTGGCTTGTTAAGCTATCAATTATGAGTAAATATTTTGTATAACCATCCAATAAGAAAATGTATAAAATATTATGAAAATTGTTATTTATTACGTAACTAAGTGGTTGTTTGTTTTAGTGGGGTTCACTTCCTGTTTTGTTTACTTATCAGTGGACTATTATTGATCATTTTTTATTGTTTTTCAAAATTGACCCCAAGTCTAACCCTTTTATGAAAATTAGTATTTTCCTTCTTTTTTCTTCAAAATCTGTTTGGTTAGATAGAAAAATGTGATTTATTATGCTATTCATGTCTAAGTTAGGTTAATGATTTTAGTTATTTTTTGTTTATATAAAATATATATACGGGCTTTAGTTCTTTTATGTTTAATGAATTTTTAAACATCAAATATGATGTAAAAAAATATAAATATATCACATTATTTTTATCTATTAGAGTACAAAGTAAAATTTATAGTTAAATGAGAACAATTATATTTTATATAAATTGAAACTATTCTCAAATTATCTTTTTTAATATCCAAGATTAATAAATATGAAATTCACTATAATTCGATTTATTTCTCGTGAATACATTAATCTCAGTATAAATGATCAGTTTTGATCGGTCAGAGAGAGAATTAATTGAGATTTACGTATGTTGACTCAGACACCTCTCACCGTTGAATTAAAAAAAAAATTCACTATAATTTCGTTAACTAATAAAATAAATTATTTGATCAAAAATAAAATAAAACAAATTGTTATTGGTCCTTCAAAAAAGTTTTTAGGACATCATTTTCAAGTGCATAGACCTTGTGAACCTCTGCGTTTTATGTCTCTTCAATGGATAAGATCTGAGGAATATTAGATATACAGAGGCCCCACTTCCTCCAAGAATTCTTTAGCATATACTCATATTTTGCGTAATACAATCGAATCCCACATTAATAATTAAACAACAAAACGAAGACAACCCTTTTCTCAACGTTAAATTTGATGACTTTCTTTTGTGATTTTATATATCGCAATCTTCTTTGTTTTGTTTTTGTGTGTTGAAAGCGATTCCAGAAAATCTCCAGAGAGGCTCAAATTCGATTATGTGGATAGCGAAGGACACAAGAGGTTAGTGGCTCAGAGCTGTTTGGAAGATTCAGATACTTAATGGTGAGTTGTGCATTCTAGTTAAATGGTTATGGTTTTCTTTGATTTGATAGCGTTTACACGCAGTCACACACACAAACCCAGAAAAAAATACAGAGAGAGAGAGAGATTTGTATGTTTGTATGACATCTATGATATATATGTCGTTTAGTGGTAGTCATTGGTTGGAGTTTGTGGTTCTTCTTTATAATGACGCATGAAACCTTATTTTTTGATTTTGGTCTCTAATTACCTTATAAATTGAACATTTAAAGAAGAAAAAAAGAAATTCTTCTTCACAGTTCAGCTTGGCTATCTATACGGCTAATTTGCTTCTCTATGGTTGAATTTTTTTTTAATTAACAATTTTTTTTTACTGAATTGGGTTATGTTTATGTCCCTCTTCAGAATTTTTCTATATATATATATTTTTTATATAAGCTTGACTTAAAACTTTCTTTTTACTTTAAATTTTGCATATGTAAATCAGTTTTGGACAGGGACCATGTTGTGCAGGGCATCAGCTGACAAGTTTTGTTGTGTTTCATCTGTGAGTGTTTGAATCTTCTCTTTTTCTGTATTTCTATACCATCTTATCCCTACTTTATCTCTTATTTGCAGTGTCTCCACTCTGCTAAGGTGGTTGTTGTCCTCTTGGTTCTTACTCTTGTTTATTAATGATTTGTTCCTTCCCGGTTTAAATCAACAAAGCAAGAGATGAATCTAAGGGTCCAGTTCTTCTATCTCAACTCTTATGTCTTCATAGCTTTCATTTTTCATTGACTTGAGCTTCATCTCTGTGTTCACCACCTCCTTTTTGTTGAACTCTTCATTGAAACAGAAAGTTCATTCAAGTTGATCCTACTGTTTGCCATGGAGAATAGTTGGAATTAATCTTCTCTTATTGAAGCTTTAACCCTCCTCCATTTTGTGGCTGCTTTAATATTCTGGTGTCTCAAATTCTCCTTGTGAATTGCTTTGATATGTATTTGTTGACATTTTCACAGGTTCCATATACCCATAGTCTTACTTATATTTGGTTTCCCAAGTGATCATCTCAATTAATGCTTATGGATTTTAGTATAAAGGAGGATCAGTTTCTTTAAGTCCCATGGAGAATTCTCAAGAGAAAGCGAATGGAAATGGACTGGCTGAGAATGGCCACATCAAGAGGCACTCCCCTCATCAGCCGAATATGAAGGTATCTTTACCTTGGCTTGATTTAAGAGTTTTTTATGTCAGAGTTAGCAAATGTGAGATTGATGATTCTACTCCTGAGCACCTAACAATGGAGTATATTCCACTTAACCGCGATACTCTTCTTGAAGTAAATGGTGTAAGAACTAGCATTTATTCCGATGGTGTGTCAACCCTTCTTAGAAGAGACCGATTGGATAAGAAATCCGAGGAAGTTACATTTGTGAGTACTGATGGTATAAGGATGACAGGGACTGTGAAGTTTGAGGTTTTTTATAGGGATGTTTGCATGCTATCTGGGGCATTAGAATTGTGTACTAGTAATAGCTTCACTGGGGAATTGGAAAATCATGGGCAGACGTGGGGCATGAATTGCGAGTCAGATGTAATTGCCTGTAGTGGCTTCTTTAAGTCAAAACAACATATGGGCCTGGAATCAAGTTCCCCAGCAATTGAAGTTTATGTGGCTGGTTGTTTCATGGGTAATCCTATTATTTTGACCAAGACGTTGAAGCTTAGTTTTAGAAGGAAGCAAACGAGGAATGGAATGTTGAAAGCAATACCAGAATGTGAGGCAACTGAAGGCCAGAAAAATGTTCCATCTGAGCTTGATTTACAGGTACTCATTTTTCCTTAAATCCTGATCTCGGATGTGTATTATTGATTTTGGTTCCTTTTTGACTTGTTTGGTTCATCTGCACTCTCATGATGTATGTATACTATTGACATTGCCAATGTTAAGAGACCTTGGTGTAATACAAATGCTTTCTTTGTTTGCAGCAATCTTCTTGTTGCAGATAGTCTTTGATGCTATGAAGGGCGTATAAAATGTTATCATAAATAAGCCAGGAGGCATAGGGTTGGCACATATTTCTAAGTCATGGAATAATTCAATATCCCCCTTGTGTTGTGTGACTATCTTCCCATAATTTAGCAGTATCCCACATGGCTATGCACAGATGTGTTACCTCTATGTCAACTCTATTGCTGCTCATTTGTGATCTTTCATCCATCTTACACATAAATGGGCAAGTCAGCTAAATAACCTAATTGCTCATCACTGTCATTTGCAGCTCAATGACTGGCCATTCCTTTGCCCGAGAATTGTTGATATCCTTGTTCTATGATGCTTAGCTTACTCTCTAATACAAGTTAACGTATTACCTCCCTTTTAAAGAAAATATAGGCCGCTTTTTGTGTGTATGAGTATATAATTCTTTCTGTTGAACTTCATAGATATAGGTTCCACACACTGTTTTCTGATTCTTGTTAACTTTTTCCAAACCATTATGATAATATGGAAATAAAATGTGCTAATGATTTCATTTGGTGACATACTTGTGTTAAATGCCATTATGTTGTATATAGTTTGGCGAAACTTTTTTTCATGGCATTCCTATATTTCTGTAAAATTGAGAGAACTTTCCTTGATTGTTACAATCCTGCTTGGCATGCTGGCCTTTTTTGGTTTTGAGTTAATATCTAAATAGCACCGCCTTTTCAGGTACCATGTCAATCTAAGATCTATGCTGACTCACTCTCCCTCCATAGCACACTAACATAAACTTTAGATTTTTCCATTCCACTTCAAATTATGTTAAGTGGTTAATTGGGAGTGATTTTTGTGTCAATTACTTTCATATGATGGAAAGGCGGCTTACAATTGAAGTTCTTATGGTAACAACTGGCAACCCCTCCTCTGCTTCTTGAAGCAGGGTTGGTTTCCATATTTCTAGTTTTCTCCAAAAAATTATTTCAGGAGGATGGTTGGTTATCTTTGTTTTATTTTTACATGCACTCATCTTTCTTTGCTACAAGTCTGCTTTAGTTTTGCATCATAAATTATGCCTTTTGTTTTATTTTGGCTTTGCAGGTAGCAGACTATGCGACTTACAAGCCAGAAAACGAAGAATATAACCCTCTTTATTCAGGGATAGAATATTTAGAAAGTGAAGATGGAGAGCTATCGTGGTTCAATGCTGGCGTGAGGGTGGGTGTTGGAATTGGCCTCAGCATGTGTCTCGGAGTTGGGATAGGTGTGGGATTACTGGTTCGAACCTACCAAGGAACCACCAGAAACTTCAGAAGACAGCTACTATGATTTGTCCTCTCCTCATGTGGCCAGTGACACCGACATGGTCTATCCTCCTCCCTCCATATCCAAAAGCTTGCCAACTTAGTAGTGTTGCTGATATCCTCCACTTCATGATACACAGAATACCGGCTTTGAAGGTACATCCATTATGCAGGAATTTTCGCTGTATTTCCTGCATTGAATTATGTAGGATGAATATATATTGGTACCAGTCATGATCCTCTTCATGCGGCTAGTGCAGTCTGTTGTGGCTTCTAATTTCTGTGAATTTTTTGTTTTAGTTAGGCTTTTTTTTTATCAGAAGTGTGTTGATAGCAGTAAGGTTTTGGTGATGGAAAGAGATGCAGATCTCTTCAATGGATTCTGATAGCTTAGCTTGTACCAATTATCTGGATCAGTATAGCTGCTAATAATTTCCAAGAAAAGAGTTCAAAATAATTTCTTTCTCCCTCTCGAACACAAACATGACACGGAGTTAACGGATTACAATTGATTAGTTCTCCACACGAACTCAAAAATGGCAAGAACAACTATTACAAATAATGAAACAGATTAGGGTAATAAGCAATGTCTAATCTGGACTGACTAACATGTTTGATTGGTACTTACAAAGAATATTTTTTATTTTTGAATTTTGAATTTTCTTTCATCTCTAAATCATGTTTTATATGAATTCTTATAAAATTCAATAACTTTTTAACTTGATTTTTACCACCTGTATTTATGGATAATAAGTTTTACATGGACAAGTAGTCGATGCAAGCTTGCAACCTGTTATGGCACCTACTTTTCAGGTATGTAGACTAACGAGCTTCGGACTTATTCAAGCCAATTTGCTTCCACAGCACAGAGAAAAACACAAGTTATACATAGTACATAGTCTCTCTCTAAACATCAGTTGAATATGTACAATATTTCACAGGGAAAACGCCTAAAACCCACTTGTGAATAGGCTTCTCACAAGATGGAAGACTGCACCTAATAAAGGTTTTCTGCTTGAGGAGATCTATTTGCACGGCGAAACCAGGTTTTAAACGCGGAGACCAAATGAGGGCAGTCTTCAACATTTCGAGTTGAAAAGCTGAGACACTGCTGCAACAACTCCTGTGCATCCAGCATGGGCAGTGTAGAGATAATGCGTAAGAATGTTTCTTCTAGCTCGCGGTATGGTGATGGGTGACTTGGCAACATGGCAGGGATTTTGTCTTTGCATACAATCAGCACCGGAAGCCAATCTTTTACGAGCTTCATCCTAACCTGTAAATAATGAAATAAGTAAGCCATCTGGACAGCTAACCTGCAAGTTTAAAGAAATTGCTGAAACAGAAACTCTCAACAGTACAACAAGTCAATAAATCTTAGCATGTCAGGAGGAGAAGGGTGGCTTCCTCAAACTGGGAAATCATTAACTTGACGATACTGTCATAGAAGCACCAAAGAGGTTGATAGGGGTGAGGAAGCTTTTGGGTTTAGGGAAGGGAAGGTGGGGCATTTAGAAGAAGGGGTGGCCAACCAAAGGCAGGCGTATGAAGCAAGGACGGACTGACATACATATATCAGTCTCATATATATGACAGAGAGAGAGTAGCTTTGACAATATGTATCGTTCTTTATCATAAACTTGTAAACATGGCTAAAAGGTGCCTGTTGTGTATAGCACATCTTCTATGTCGTACTCCAGTGCCGTCAAAACATACCTAATTCCTATAACTCCATGTCGCCCTCCTATGTGACTTAGTAGAGTACTTAGTGTAAACCTGCATAAATCACTAACATCTTTGAAATCCTATATACTCTAAACTCTTTCAAGGCCTTCCAACACCCATCCATCATGCATCACAAAACCTACTGACAGTACTACAGCAAATTCACTGAGACTTCCTCTTCTCTCATATGCTTCATCTCTTCACATCATTACCCAAAAAAGAGCAGCAAAATCTAGCATGAATGTTGTGCTCCTTTTGCAGAGGTGCCAAGGGTATCGATTTGAAATTCAACAGCTGAAATGCAGTTACTCAATGGGATTGACCTACTTTCACAATCAAAAATTGTCATGAGCAGAGCTTATATGTCAACAACAAACTACATCACAATTCTGCTAATGGTTGTGTAAGATGATCACTCACAACACAGGAAGGAGGCGCACATGCATTAAAACATGAGAAGCATAGGAGTGGCTAAAATTACTGGACTTGGGAGCTCAAGACCACTAACTAAAACACTGACAATCCACTTCCTCTTCTAATTAAGTTATCCTCCTGAAGTATTATTACCTACTAGACTATTGATCAGATAAATTGGAATTAAAATGCATAGCTCCGAACATAGTTGAGGTCAATTACAAATATACCTTTAACTAAAACAAAGGATCAGCCCCTGTTGACATCACTATCACCTCAATAACAAAAATATAAATCAACTTAGTCCACGCCAGTAAACAAATTTTTTGCAATCGAAAATCCATTGCTCAAAATTTGACATATGGTGAAAGAAACCAAGCATTAAATTGCAAAATCAGTGCTAATTCTAAACATTCTGCTTTGCAACAATCTTCTCTAGAAAAATCAAATCAATAATGACTACAAAACTGAAATTCAAACCTGTCTAGCAGCCAGAATAGACCCAGAGGTAACGGCATTGGCAAGCTTGAGAGTGCACCGAAGCACGAGAGCAGGAAGCCCCGGCACGATATTTCTCCACGCATCATCGCGAAACGTCCTCTGCAAATCTGCGGTGAACGAAGCCTGGTCACTCCAGTCTTTCACCGCCTTATCAGCCATTCTCAGCTCAATCATCCTCTCAATCAACCATAAA